TTGAAATTCTTAAAAGGTTAATTGACGGTTTCTATGAACCATGGGATCTAGCAATAGATGGAGGAACGAAAGTGTTTCATGATTCGAAAATCTTCAGAGCATTAAGAAGTAAGTAATAACTAGAGCTAGCAAGTTTTCTTTATATATTAGCTGAAACTCAATTTAGGATGTGTTGATGAGTAAGTACTAGTATCTAAAGTAATCTATATCAATAAGGGCAGTTCAAAAAGATATCAAGAGACAACATAGCCTAACAAATATAAAGGTTTTCCTGCTTTTTTTTATATATATATTTCACATAGACTATAGTGAAATGCTTTAGATTAAAGTGACGCTTAACCAAAAATGTATGGACTTTAAAAGTGCTAAACCAAAAATGTCTATAAAATGTTTTAGGGTAGGCATGTATATCAGGGTAGGTAGTGAGCAGGAAATAGAACGATATTTTTGTTTTGGCCTTACGGTCTTTTTAAAATAAAAAAAGACGAACAGTCAGATAGCAGCTCAACAAAACACTACACATAAAATATAAGGTTGACCAACACGAATCCCAAACAAACTCCGAAGATCAATCCGGATCTTTCGAGAGTCGGCAGTTTTGGTTCCAAATGACACGTGCAGTAAAAATAGTTTATTAGTTTCCTTCGAGTTTATGCCACACCAGCTAAGCTTCAGAAACAAAGATTTAAGTTCTTTAATTATGAAGAGGTCAAAGAAAAATATCTTTCTATATATATTAGCTTTTAAAATTTTAAAATGTCTATCGCATAATTATATTACTTTGTCTAATCATGTCATCGCATTTTAATTAAACAGGTTATGCAGAGCACAAACTAGAAATGGACCAAATTACTTTCAATCGAGGTTGGCTGGAAAAAATGTCATCGGCCAAAAAGACAGTTAAAAGACTGAACAAATTAGCAATTGAATCTGAAAAACAGTAACGAGTTCAATTTATCAACATTATATTACTATTACGTATAAGTGTTAAAGACAGCATTCTTTTTTCATTGCCTTCTTTGTCCCAATGTTTCGTCATCTGTGGAAAAGGAACGACTTATATCCGGTGATGATTGCTATAATGATGTATGAGAGATTCCGTTGTTTAAAATTCTCATTTCTGACTTGACATTTCTCAGTTCCAAGTTTTACATTTCTTCCTTCAAAGTTGGCACTAAAAATGTCAACTTGGAACTGTAGTTTTGTTAGTTCTGTTATAAAATAGATTTTCAAAATAAACAGAATCTGTTGAATAATTTATTTCGCACTCTTTGACTTGAACATTGTAATGGTGAATGCTTTGTGTAGCAATAAGTTGTTTATACGCCTAAATTAATTGCATAGTGCTATAACTGAATTTGCTTAGAGAGAAAACCGGACATTAAAACTAAAAATAACTTCCAAGTTTCGTGTAGTACAATAATCACATCCGGATATTTAAAATATGTTATGTTTAACCTCTGCGATACACTTAATGAGGATCACCTCACAAGTTTTAGTCCTTGTTCTTTTAGTTTAAATTCATTTTTCGCTTTTGGTTAATTTGATTAGGCCATTGGTTGTCCATTAATTCTTCATATTTGATTTATCTATAGCCTTTTATATCTAAACTTAAGGTATTGGCCCTTGTCGATTGTTTAAGACTGTATGCTACCTATAGTTATGTATATATATATATATCGTTCTATGGATTTAGATAAACTCACCATAAATACCATGCTTAACATCTGTACGCCAGACGCGCTTTTCGTCTACAAAAGACTCATCAGTGACGCTCGTATCAAAAATGTTAAATGGACCAAATGAGTAGCTGTGGTGTATTAAGGCAGCCTTCGCTATTTTGTGTAAGCATATTTGATATTGATTTTTAATAGATTGCTTGATTCTCCATTTGTTTTATCTGATTTGTGAAGCGTTATTCCTTTTAAAAAATACCGCTTCGATTGCATCGAAGTCGGTACTTTTAACCCTGAGAAGGAAAATCAAGGAATCAAATCCATGAAAGTGTAGAAAAATCAAGAAATACTTTTATTAAATCTTGTAACTTTCACACATATCAGAAAAAAATGTAATATACATGTATAAGAAAATAATGACCATCAAGTGTATATGTGAACATGTATATTTCACATGATTGGCTATAGCCGGTGACAAGAATTTTGCAGGCTATGTACATAAACTTATAATGGGTAAAGTGTACAGCAAAAGAGCGTCTATGACTTTTACCAACTACGATGACCTTTTTTTAAATAAATCCATGAAATAACAAAAACAAGGTTAATATGCACCAATCAAGTGCAGTTGTTGTAAGTGCATTTAAAACCTACAATGAACCTCGTCAGTGATTGTTTTAAGTTACATTATTATACATGTATTGTTCTTAGATTGATTGATTGGTATTTTAAAGCCACTTTCAACACTATTGTGATATTTCGTGGCGGTCAGTATTTATTGGTGGAGGAAGCCGGAGTGCCCGGAGAGAACCACCGACCTTCAGTAGGAAAACTGACAATCCTATTCAATTAAGATTAGAGTCGAGTGCACCTACCCGTGCCTGATTCAAACTCACAAGCTCAGTGTTGACTGGCTAGTGATACAGTAGTTGGACTACTTAGACCACTCGGCTACCGAGGCCCCTATTGTTCTTAGAGGTATGGCAATTTATGTGTATACATGTATTCCCTAGACTTCTTGCGATTTATACCTTGTCATATAGTATAAAACACGTGTCTATTGCCAAAGTCTGTATGTTGACCGATAGTTTTTGTATCGATGGGTTACTGTCTCATAATGTCTCAAGCAAGGATGATAGATTCACAGCGCATTTCCACAACACTAGATACAGGAAATACACATTGATAAGCAATCTTATCTTGTATTTGCAGAAGAACAAACAACAAAATCCTCATAAACTTTTCTGAGTATGAATTGACCTTTTCGTTCATTAGATATATGCACACCCTCTTTTAGGAAGACGTGTATGGAAAATGACCATAGCAATAGCAGTATACCAAGTCAGTTTATTTACATTGAAATATAAAAAATAGTGGAAACAGATAAAAGATTGTTTACACATTATGTATTTACGTTCATGGTATCTATTCAAAAGTCCAAAATTGAGATGCGTAGTTAGCTAGATAAAAGGATGAAGTAATTTGTACTTGTCGGACAACGAATACTTTTAGATTAAAGTTAAAAGCTTAAGTAGCACTAAATTGTAAGCAAATAATGTGAAAAGGTCAAGATTTGCTGATTGTGCAAAATCAAATGCTACTTGAAGTTCTTTTAATTGAGGACTCTCAGGAAGATTAGTTTTAACTAATGGGATTATCCTCTTGAAATAAAGATTATTTATTTATTTATTTATTTATTTAATTTGGCTCCGCAGTGTAAAATTATGCAAGGTTTATTTGAGCTGAGTTGCGCATGTCAATGACTCAAAAACCTTGTAATCCCGGCGTACCAATTTATTATGCAAGATGATCCAAAGAACGAATTTGATTTGCTTGATTTTCCTGTAAATCAGACTGAAAAATACGCATTTTAAAATTAATTACAACTTTATCAAGAACATCCAAATCTCAGATTAGATAATTAATCATATCTGAGCTAACACAACAAAACAGTCCATGGAACATGAGGAAACTGTAAAGTTGGAATTGCCCATGAGACTACTATCCATAGGTGACATAATGACGAGGATGTATATATACAGTATATACAATCTACACTATAATAATTTGATATGGTTTGATGAAATTTGTCCCAATGTTAAAGACTCACATAGCGTTGATATTAGAACGTTTGACAAGGTACTAACCAACACGTGGGATATCGGATGTATTGATCACGTTACTAAATGACCACGAAGTCTCCTACATTACATCCAACCGACTTAAGGATGTATTCTTCTGATGTTTCAGTCTCGTTGAAATCTCGTTCTGGAATTATTTCCAAAACATGTGATACAAGTGGAAAATATCAATGAATTTAAAAAATATTATAATCAAATTAAACTGTGTGAAAAAATTGTGTATTCACAATAAGTAGTTTTTGTGTAATAAAATTTTATAACCAATCCAGTCAGTGTCATCAGCCAAAATGTTGAGAAAATGTGTGAGGTTTACAAGAAATGATTTAACCAAAAATATGTACATCTCGTATATTATAGACAGGATTCTTTTTTTTTAAACATTACTGAAATATAAGTCAATGGACGGAAAATCAAAATCTGTTTTAATCTGTTCATGTTAGGGGTGTTGACAGAGCTATAAAGTTATATAACTTATTAGGATTTACAGTATGATAGATGGAACGTTGTTTCTAACGGATATGAAAAACTGCTTTATGGATAGTTTATATAAAGTTTGTTTCAATATTATAAACGTGACATAAGTATGGTATTTTGAATGTATACTAGCCCATATGTAGAATAACGGATTTATCGGACGAATCTGTGATCACTTTAATTCAAAATGACCACATAGTCTAATACATAATGGACACCTATAATAATAGGTTATTTCGACGTCATATTTATAGATATTTTTTACATGATGCAGCCAATTGTTTGCACTACTAAAATATTGTTCAATAGACTAATGTCAAATCCCAAAGGAGACTGGGACCTACATATGTTGAAAAGCTTACTATATAAGATCTAAAATCTGATTTCCAACGTTAGCAATTACGGCCATATGCTTTATTATGTACCCTTGCATGAAAAATTGAGATTTTCAGAATTGTCAAATATTTGCTCAATTTCTACCTTATGCATACTACTGACAATCTATACATCTCAGTATCTGATCTGTTTCACTTACAGGACAAAACAACTTAAATACTATCAGAATATCAAATTAATGACGCTGATAAATAGATAATTCACAATTTAAATGTCTATTGTGGGGACTCTTGTACCAAATATTATCTAAAGTAGTCGACGCTTTGTTTACAAATATGATAATGAACATTTAATCTATTGACATGCCATGTCATATATTTTCTTATTCCTAATTCAAACATATACAAATCTTGTAAAATAGCCGGGTAAATAACTGGGTATATTTAATTACAAATACACATTGTGAAAGCATGGTTATTTCGGGAGCATGGATTGTTTTCATTTCTTCCTTCATTGCTGTAGAATCTTATCATCATGACAATTATTCAGTGTCTCTGATAAAAAAATTTAGTTCCGATGGTTCACTTTCCCAACTTCAGTTCCAGGAACTTGCTATTGATTTAACCGCTAACAGACTTCCGGGAACTTATTCTTCAGATTGTGATAACCAGTCTCCGGGTACCAGTTGTAACAGAACTCAAAGTATTCAGGTATTTATATTATATTTTGAAAAGCATAATGGCTGATTCTTTTTGTTAAATGCTTCACTCTTTTTGGTGAACCATGTTGATATATATCATTCCCATGTTTAAATATTCTTCTTAGATTTAACTATTTTCAATACATGCATATTGCACGAGCGATAATTATTGTAGTGTTCTTGGATAATGAAAAGACTTTTCTCGATTGTTTTATATTTGTCATTTCGGGGCTTGTATAGCTTAATATGCGATACGGGTTTTGCTCATTGTTGAAGGCTTTACGGTTTACTATAGTAACTAACGTCTGCGTCATTTGGTCTCCGGTAGAGAGTTGTCTTATTGGAAGTCATACCACATTTTTTATTCTTATATTTTGAATATCATTACAATAGATAAATGAATAAATTAACTTTAACTTTAACTTTTCAAAACATTTACTAAATTTTATCATCGCTACAACTGGACATCATTTGTAAATATAAATCAACCTGCAGACATCTTATACGTTTAGGTATTTCACATCCCATCTTTTATGGTAATATTCTATACAAAGCACAACAATGTCGTCATTCACCCCAAAAGCTAAAAAAAACCTTTAAAAAGACTTATTCAGGAGGGATATAGTTACGATACTGTTGTCAGGTCATTACAGCAGAATGCATTGAGTGTGTATGTAAAGGCAGAGACATGTATACACATATCTATGTCTCTGGTAAAGGTAATATCTTTGGTTAGCTTGCTTGCTAGCTGAACCGTGAAGTCATTATTAGGTCAGGTAAACTACCCTCCTTTAAGAGCAGACTAGTCCGACAGATAACCAATCTATCTGTCTGTAGGCCCCTTCTACTCCGAAAGTAGGGTAGTATACCTGACATAATAATGACTTCTACCTTTACACTCAATACATTCTGCTGTAAATATGGCATTTTTTGGGGGGGGATTAATATTGATTCACTCATAGGGTCTTTGCATCGGAAATAAACACATTTATTCTAAAACCAGTTTTTGGCTTGATACGGGTTATGTTCTTCGTATATTTTATGATGGTATGATCTAAACCCATAACGGGATTGTGCTTGATTTTCATATGATAAAGACATGATCTTTCAATCAGTTTAATAGAGGTCTGGAGCTGGCATGTTAGTAACTGCTAGTAGTCCTTTGATAATCTATGTTGATTATTGTCATTTTGCTTAGTTTCTTCTGGTACCTATTCTAACATCGGACTTGGACTTATTTTAAACTGAATTTTACTGTGCGTAATGATGTGTGTTTGTTTATTCCACATTAGCTAGAGGTATAGGGGGAGTTTTGAGATCTAACAAAACATGTTTAACCCTGCCGCATTTTTGCGCCTGTCCCAAGTCAGGAACCTCTGACCTTTGTTAGTCTTGTATGGTTTTTTTAAATTTTGGTTCATTTATATGTTTCGGAGTTTAGTGTGACGTCCATTTTCGTTGATCTCGTATACATTATTGTTTAGGGGCCAGCTGAAGCCCGCCTCCAGGTGTGGGATTTTCTTGGTGTGTTAAAGACCTATTGTCGGCCTTGGACCTCTTTGACGCATTCCCCGTTTCCATTCTCAATTTCATTTAAAGTCTGGACAAAAATGACGAAGAAACTCATTAAAATCAGTATTTTTAAGGACTTTCTCGTGTAAGTGTCTGACACTATCAAACATATTTTTCTTCAAAGCCAATCAGTATTGTTGATATTAATAAAAGGAAATGTAGAGAACAAGTCAATGAGACAGCAACCCAAGGACAACAATAACAAAAAAGACATCTATAAAACAACCTGAAGTCATTAAAAATATACAGGTTTTCATAAAATTTGACAATTCTTAAAGTTCGTACCTCTATTTCCGAACCTATGAATAATGTACTGTACTTGAATAACCTACATAATATGTGATTTGTTTATGAACTTAATTTCTTTAAATACATGCAATTTTATTATCCTCACTTCACGTCCGATAATAAAAATCAAAGCACCGTCGGTGCTGTGATTCAGCCATTTGTTTAGGTACGGCTGATAGACCGACATTTTTTCTGATCTCATTTTTGATAAAAAAAAAAAAAAATGAGACAACCATCATAACTTTGGATAAGTTATTTTGGCTCAAAATGTTAATTTGTGTTTAAAAAGAGAAGAAACCAAGGGACAATCAAATATCATATGTTTAAAAACAATGTCAGACGACACTTGGATTGAATGTAGAACATTATCATTTTTCATTATTATTTCACTAAAAAATAATCAGTGTTATTTTTCTTTTTAAAGATGAGCCCTTTCAGATCATGAAATTCTCAGTAAAAATGTACTTCTTCTATGGTACTTCTGACATTCAAAGTGATTGAAATTACTGATGGAAAGACTGGAAGAGTTGTGTGCATAATTTCAAATCATTTTCCCAGGTATTGTGGTAAAAAAAACTTGTTATATCACTCTTGCATTCAGAAGGATTATTGTTTTTTTTTCAATTGATATAACAAGCTTGTCTCCCTTTTGTCTCAAAATTGATTAAAGGTCTACTATTGGTGTAAATATTATTGTGTATTTAATTATGTAATACACGAGATACTAACTGTGGTCAATTAAGATTGTCATTAAAGTGGTGGAGATTCCAATTTATACTCCAATCTTTGAGTGAAATTGTTTGTTGATAATGACAGTTGTTTATCATACTGTATTGTATCAGTACTCTTTATTTACCTACGAAAAGAATTGGGGAAAAAGCATTTAAAAAAAGTGTGGGAATCAACTTTGATATCAATACACATCTTGTTCCAAATTCTATTCAATTACTTACACAAGCATAAGATACTGATAAAATATTTTCATAATTCTCATCAACTGCTTAAATTATATATATTACTTTTTCACATTAATTGATAAATAGTAATTCATTATGAATTTTTGATTTACAAAGGAAGTATATGCAAGTGTATATCTAAAATAAAGTAGCCATTCGACATTCTTAAATTAAGGGCAAATAACATGTCAAAAGTTGACAATTAATTATCAAAATGGTGTATAAAGTTTCTGCAAGTCATAAAAACTCATACTTAGTTTCATAATATATCTCCAACTTAGAATTCTGCACATCTCCAAATCCGGGGTGATCACATAGATCCAGCATGGCTGAATAAAAAACTCTCAAAGAGTTCAATTTCATTATCTGTAAAATGAAATAATCATTTACTGACTGTTCTTTTTTTCTGCGTACTATATTTTTATCAGTTAACACCACCATGTATACTAGTGATTTTCCCCCTTGAACATACAAGAAATGAATATGCACACCCATATTTTACCCCTAAAAATGTATGACCAGCCTGAGTACATGTAACACACGAAGTAGTTACTATTGTCTCTTCCTAACCATATTGCACAATTTTGGGCTCGTGAAGTTTTCTCTGGGTCATTGAAATAAAAGCAATTTTAACTTCTATGAATTAAAAAAAAAATGCATGTAACATTGTAATGATATAACATGAAATTTTTCGTACTTTCACTCTAGTGTCTGGGATATGATGATGTTTTTAACTTATATGCCAACAATGGAAAAATGAATGAAACAGCACTGGTTAAAGCCGTGCCTGCACTACTGTACTATACTCAAGAAGAAATTTGTATAAAACCAGATACAGTGATATACCATAAACATCATAAGAAGCCATCTTCTTCACAAGGTTGGTTATTTAAGTTAATTTGAAATTATAGATATGTAATTTTTTCGTTGCGCTTCATTGCTATAAGTATGTGGTGATGTGGTGAATCTTTTGAGTACTATAACCGGAGAGCATGATTCTTATTAGAAAAATCACATCGTCTCCTCCAGGACTCGATCCCGGAACCTCTGTATTCGAAGTCGGCCCTCTAACTGACTGAGCCGAAGAAGTACTTCCTTAGCTCAGCCGCTTGCAACTAGTTAAGTTTCTGCTATTCAAGGGAAGGAATCCTGTCATAGTACTAATCAAAATAACTCTGAAATATGGATCCTATGTTATCATGAACATCTGTATAAGTGTAGGCTCGATCTATGGCAGGGTCAAGTGGACTAATACCGCATCAGATAACGGGGCTTTCAGGGCTGATAATGTTGCCCACTACAAAGTATATGGTTAATATCACATTACACACGTTCATGTCCTAAATAATAGGTGTAATACCACCATTGATTTTCCCCTATTAGTCTTTGTTAAATTTGCACTTTTCAAAAAATTGTGCAGAATTTATCTTTGTTTTAAATAAAGAAATACTTGGCATGAGTAAAGTTTTATCCTGTCCAGTACTATAGACAAAATTTCATATAACATTTCATTGCATATAAGAAAATAACCATCACTGGAAGTTAACCAATCAAATTTTCACCCCTTTTTTCCTGTGTACAACATCAAGTTTCCAAAATATTCTATAGAAACACCAAATAAAAAAATAAGGATGCTTTGAAACACCCAAGATATATGTTTATGACTCATAATTTTTTTACTGCAATGAAATGTAGGATTAATTTCCTACAACTGTTAAATTCAAGGGAATATTTTTCTTCGATCATTTTTCGTATGCAACTGGATGTGACATACTATGCTTTGATGGTATTGCACCTAATATTGAAAGATTGCGTAAATTATACATGAATCAGGCCGTTAATTTTTTCGTTGAATTGTTTCACATTTGTCATTTCGCTTGCTGTGTGGTATGGGTTTTGCTCATCGCACTGTGACCTATATTTGCTTGCTTTTACGTCATTCGGTCTCTGGTGAAGAGTTTCCTCATTGGCAATCATACCACATCTTCTCGTTTTTACATGTTGAAATAATATTTCAACAACATACAAATATATTCATTAGAATTGGGGGTTTTGTAAGATCTTGTTTTCTAAACACAATTGAATTGAAAATTATATATAAACACGAAGACCGTACTTAATATATCATTTCTGTTTTAGCATGGGGTTACGGAATTGGTTTTGTAAGTTCAATTGTTTTAGTATCAAACATTGGAGCCTTTCTTGGACCTTGCATGAAAACTCAGCTCTTCAAAAGAATCTTAATGTTCTGTGTGGCCCTTGCTGTAGGAACTTTAGGTGCAACTGGTCTTCTTGTCCTTACTCCAGAGGTATTGCATTTATATAGTATAAGTATGTAATTGTCAGTACATATCTTATCTTATAAACACCACTGAATACACATAAGAGTTTCACATTTTCTAAAGACATAGAAATGAGATGTACAGTGTATGTTACATGTTGAAAGGAGAAGCTCAATAAGTTTATCTGAAGAAAGGATAAACACAATAAGTGTATCTATAAAAAGGAGAAACACAATTAGTTTACCTGCAGAAAGGAGAAGCACAATTAGTTTACATGTAGAAAGGAGAAGCACAATGTTTACCTGTAGAAAGGCGAATAAGTTTATCCGTAGAAAAGAGAAGCACAATTAGTTTACCTGTAGAAGGAGAAGCACAATTAGGTTTCCTGTAGAAAGGAGAAGCACAAGAAGTTTACCTGTAGAAGAGAAATGAAATATCGAGAAAAATAACGGCATAATTTTAGCTAATAACAAAACGAAAAATAGTTGTGGCAGGCGGCAACCAAACGGCAACCACTGGAAATTGGGAAAGATACATTAAAGTATGGCGTTTCAATGTATTAGAAATAGAATATGCTTAAACAAATTTTTTTTTAATCTTAGAAGATCACCTCTATGCTTTGTTGTTTATTACTTAGGCTTTAGGATTGACAGGAATAGACAGTCCTGTTCCAGACTACAACTGGAAGATGACTACTGTATTAGGAGGAATATACTTTGTGTTTATATGTGAGAGGTTGCTGAAGATGATTTTGAAGGGCAGGAAGGTAAACTCGATACCATTTTTTAACTGGTAAACACAAAGAAGTGTTGTGCTATTGCTCTTGCACTAAAGTATGAATATATTTTAACAACGAATTCCAGATAGAAAAATTTGATATTATTAATATCAGATATATGCTTTTTGTTCGTTCAGTGTTTGATTGGTTGTATGTCCAATTATATTATTGGCTTGTGTTTCATGACGTAAATGTTTTGTAAATATACAAAATACAGTATAAACTTTTCCCGAAAATATGATTCTTCTTGTCTTTTTTCAGTATTTAACTAGACATTTTAACTTTTCTATTGTATTGCAGGAGGTCTTGTATTTGAGTAATTTCCCATTATCATGATATAAATCCTACTGAAATTCCTTTCGTCGAAATAAATTTTTGACAAAAAGGTAAAATAATGAAAAGTAAAAATAACTTAATTTAGTCTTAGATGCATGATTTTTTATATTAGTTGTTAGTGGCTTTGAACTAGCTGTCAGTAACTGCGAGTACTCTCAAATCTGTACTTATTGTCTTTTTGTTGTTTGGATGTACAAGTACCCGGCCACGTCCACTTGTATTTGTAGTATTTGTATTTTTATCCTTCTGATGAGTTAAGCCTCTTTCAACTGATTTTTATAGTTCGTTCTTATGTTGTACTGTTACACCACTGTCCCAGGTTAGGGGGAGGGTTGGGATCCCGCTAACATGTTTAACCCCGCCACATTCTGTATGTATGTGCCTGTCCCAAGTCAGGAGCCTGTAATTCAGTGGTTGTCGTATGTTTATGTGTTACATATTTGTTTTTCGTTCATTTTTTGTATATAAATTAGGCCGTTAGTTTTCTCGTTTGAATTGTTTTACATTGTCATTTCGGGGCCTTTTATAGCTGACTGTGTGGTATGGGCTTCGCTCATTGTTGAAGGCCGTACGGTGACCTATAGTTGTTAATTTCTGTGTCATTTGGTCTCTTGTGGAGAGTTGTCTCATTGGCAATCATACCACATCTTCTTTTTTATAATTATCAGTTTAATAATGATTGCGTTGTATTATACATTTAGTAACTTATTTGCTCTTTACGTGCGAATGGTAAAGTATTCTACTTTTTGTTCCTTTGTAACCATAATATAGAGAACGTTTTCAGTTTTTTGTCAACTCTAGTCATGTTAATAGTAGTTTGGGTCGTCAACCAAAACTCAAAAAGATGGTCGTCAATGATTTATTTTGCTTACGTTTTATAACCTTAACAGGACTTTTTAAACTGAATTTAACACCATATCATATTGCAAGTTACGACAGCAAAATTGGTTGATCGGTGGTTATTTCATATATATTTTTGAAGCTAAACATTTAAGGAGAATTGTGGCCAGGAATTATTCCAATTATTTGCTTTTTACATGCGAATGGTAAAATATTCTACTTTTTGTTCCTTGTAACTATAAGATAGAGAACACGATTTTTCAGTTTTTTGTCAATTTAGCCATGTTAATAGTAGTTAGGGTCGTCAACCAAAACTCAAAAAGATGGTCGTCAATGTTTTATTTTGCTTACGTTTTATAACCTTAACAGGACTTGTTTAACTGAATTCAACACCATATCATATTGCAAGTTACGACAGCAAAATTGGTTGATCGATGGTTATTTCACATATAATTTGGAAGCTTAACATTTAGGGAGAATTGTGGCCAAGAATATTCCAATTGGCCAATTGGTTTCAAGGAAAACGATATTTGAAAAGCTTGCAACAACAGGCGAAGATTTTGAGTCAATATGACACTAACACTATACCAAGGAAGTAATATAATATTTTCTTCGCAGGGAAAAGGAGGAGAAGAAGAAGTCAAGTTAAATAGACAAGATAAATCAAAGAATGGGATTGACTTTGAACATTCTCACGTGGACCCAGAAGATATAGATAACAGTTCTGGTGGTGTGGCAACAGTTGCTTGGATACTGTTGCTAGGTGACTCTATTCATAATTTTGTGGATGGGTTATCTATTGGTGCCGCTTTCACAGAAAATGTATTCACTGGTGTAAGTGTTAGCTTGGCTGTTATTTGCGAAGAGTTACCACACGAATTAGGTAATAAGTTAATTTTCCATTTTAACTCAATGTTATGAATTCTAATATGTAACTTTAAATCACTTGTTATAGGACTTCGAAAAGATAACAAAAAAAAACAGGAATCAATGAGAATACATAAAACGTCTTCCTATATTCACTTCTCCTTTTTTCCATGTGTATGTAAAATTAAATAATGTGACATGTGCCAATTAGCCAGCAACACAACAATACAATAAAGTAAGAAAAACGTTACTGTAGTCTCTTTCGCACATGGATATTTCATCATAAACTTTCTCACCAAAATAAGGTCAATTTTCGGTTAATATCACAAATCCTGATAAATTGTACATTTGCAATCAGATATAATCGGTTACCGTATTCGTAAGTCAAGACATTAACCTCACAGGTGAATTGGTTCTTAAATATTCTGTAAATTCGTGAATAGATATATATATATTTCATTGTATTTATTTTCTAGGAGATATTGCTATTCTATTACATTCTGGATTGACTATGAAGAAGGCGCTGTTCTACAATTTTCTGGCAGCAGTAGTCTGTTATGCAGGCCTGATTGTAGGAATTGTAGTTGGTGAAAATACAGATGCAAATCGGTGGATATTCGCATTTGCTGGTGGATTATTTATTTACATTGCATTAGTTGATATGGTATGTGCATTAGTTGATATGGTATGTGCATTAGTTGATATGGCATGTGCATTAGTTGATATGGTATGTGCAGTTCTTTTTCTTTCTGATATTTGTTGGCAAAGACACGAATATTAAAGATAGGCGATAGTGTTTTCGATTTAATTTATCATATTATGTCGAAGGCAAGGGACATTAATATATGAATCCTGTTAAGTAAACAAATCCTAAAACTTCCTGGGCAAGCACACTACCGTCAGTATAAAATTAGCCTTTTCCTGTCGATTTCATCTCAGCAGTTACAGAGCACAATGTCGAAATCAATGTACGTTGTAGATCAAATATTACAAAGAGGTATATCAAAGTAATCTGTGTCATTTTGAGGTAAATCAAATTGAATAACGAATTTCAAATCGTTAATCTGTAAGTGCATTTAAACTATAATTGTAAAGACATTTTGAAATAACGACTTCCAATTATAGTTTGCCATTTTGAACTTTAAAATCATATTTACACAATATCCTATTGCCAAAATTGTCTCTAATCGAACTGGACGTTGACTCTTTAATGCACTTTGACAAAATGATGTGTTAATATGAACAATTTCAAAGCCTTTGGTTTTACTCGGCCAAAGATCAACCAACAATTTCCCGCACTAGAGGCGAGTACGCTACAACGAATCCACCGAGTCTGTTCCTGCAAAGGACAACGATGATATGTATCGGGGTGATACACTGGATCATAAATTATTTACGTCATTTGTGAAAAAGATATACATTATATAGATGTAAAAAAAATATTACGTTTAAGACGTGGAAACTTTTTTGAAATGAAAATAACACTTAAAGAACATTTAATGTGAGAAAACGTAGCGTTAAGATGAATCAGATATTAAATGATTGAATAATACAAATTCGAGAAAATTCGATGCAACATTGCCTAAAATGGCAATTAGTAATGAAGAATACTCGACGATGGCCTATATCATTAAATTGTGTGAAATATCCTTACAGTTTGCTACAAAATAGTATATATGTATCTTTTTTTTTTCTCTCTTTATTATGCATTTGGTCTATGAATATATTTTTTACTATTGCAGATACCAGAAATGAACGAACAAGCAGCCACATCCCGGAAAAACCAAACAGAGAGTACTTTTCAAATATTCTTATATCAGAATATTGGACTTTTATTGGGTTTTGCCATTATCATTATAATATCGTATTATGGCAAATACATTGACTTGTAAAATTAGTGTGCGTGATGTGTGTGTTTGGGTGATGAAAGAGAGTGGATCACAGTGGAGAGGAAGAAGAGGGAGGAAGAGTTCTTCACTACATTTTTAGTTGTTGAATGTGATCATACATCATGAAAAAATAAACCATTTTCACGAAAGAAAGGACTTAATAAACTTCAATACTTCACCTCCTTATTGTTTTCAATATTTACAACTGAAATTTGACTTCAGCTTTTGTCATTCCCTTAGTATAATCCTGTACTACATATGCTGTCTAAATACATCAAATAATGCGAGCTTATAAGTAACAAAAGCCCCGCTACACGTATGGAATTAATTTTTTTTCTCATTGTTGAAGGCCATACGGTTGCCTATAATTGCTTACATCCACTTCATTTTAACTTTGGTGGATAGTTGTCACATTGGCAATCATATATACTACATCTCCTTATTTTCATATTAAAGATATATTTTGCCCATAATTTTGTAGGTCCTAATTTACCTAGTTGTACTAAAAAATAAGGATGCCAGTCCTTCGGACAAAGTTTACAGATCAGTGGCGATTTTAGGGGGTCGTAGAGGGCATCATATGCCCCACCCTTTTTTTGCTAAAAATCGTTAAAAAAATCGCCATGCCATGCTCAGCTTTTTTTTAAATCATGTTGACAATTACGTCATATCCACTTTCCTTGGACCCTGGATCCGCCCTTTCAGATGGTTTTTGACGATGTAAGGAGAAAAGATAGGATATTGTATATCATTTCATAACACAAAATCACACGCACACGAAAAACCCAAAAATAAAGGAAAAGCGCTTTTGTGTTTATTTTGGGTTTTATGCCTTAAAGCGTTAAGATATATTTCGTTTTTGCTCTTAAGCGTTCCTGCTGCAGTGTCTTTTAACTTTTAAAATATATATAGTTACAAACCACCCGTTGATTAACATTAACTACAGAACAAACAAACAAAAAATGCCACCAAAAACATATGCCCCTTTGAAAAATGTGTTGACTTTATCGTATTTCAGTTTCTTTTTTAATTGTACTGACATACTCGAACAACCGCGTCTTATTTTTTTTATATTCAACAAACAAAAGTAGCAACCACACCTACTGCAACAAGAAAAAATCAGAAATAAAGATATTACAGAAACATACAGAAACCAGGGAAATAAAAAGTTTTTTGAAACGGTAAAATGTTCTTCTTCTCACTAAAACAGTAGTGGTGAGGTGTTTCGAAACGAAAAAAAAATGTCTTCTTCTCGTGCAACGCACGTCGTTATGAGATGGACGATAAAAAAAATATTGTCAAATTCGGTGGCAGTGCATGAACACTAAAGGATACTAGTAATAATTTGTGACACTTGTGATAACGACCAACTAAATTCATGGTGTCATCCTTAAGGATTTAGGGTATCATATTATATATACATACAAAATAAGAAGATGTGGTATGATTGCCAATGAAACCGAACCTTACACCAGAAACCAAATTACTTAGATGTTAGCAACTATAGGACACCGTACGGCCTTCAACAATGAACAAAACCCATATACCGCTTATCAACGATAAAAAGGCCCCGCCATAACAAAATGTTAAACATTGCAAATGAGAAAACCAACTGCCTGATTTATGTACAGGACGACAATCGTCAAACGAAAAACAAATATGATATAAAGCAACAAACGGCAACAACTGAATTACAGGTTCCAGACTTGGGACAGGCAAATACAGAATGAGGCAGGGTTAAACAATTTTGAGGGCGCCCAACCCTTCCATAACCTGGGACATTGGTGACAAAAAGTATAAAGAGTACTCGCAGTTACTGAAAGCTAGTTCCAAGCCAAAAACAACTAATAAAACAAAAAAAGAGACACGTTGTGTTTTTAAAGGATGTCACATGGATATTGACAGAACCATTTGATAAACTCACTTTCTCTCCTTCTTCTTACCCCTTAATCCAACTGATGTAATTTATATAATGGTAGCATACATGTACAAATAACAACGAACAGAATTCATGGCGTCACTCTTAAGGATTTACAAGTACAAGTCTCTCTTTATAAGTCCAGGTTTTAAACAGACAATGATGTGAAAATAAATGAATTGATATGAACTCGAATTATTTGGAATGAGCCCAGGTGCGTCGACCAGTTTTCAAAAGGAAAACTGAATGCATCGCGTTTGTCATATACCTTCAGTTTTCTATCATCATCAATTTCAAAAGATCTAGATATGAAACAAACCTTTTATGTGTCGTAATAATGAGTATCATTAACTTCACTTTTACATGGATATTTTAGATTTAAGAATTACTGGAAAATGGACTATTGAGGTAAAGGACATTACGTCGTATGTACTCAACGTCATTGATCCCAAAAATTACAAAGCCAAAACAATACCCCCCACAAAATGCATCAGTCACTACATGTAAAGTTTCAGTAGCTTTCAGAAGAAAAAAACATGGAAATAGTGTCACCATGGAACCTATAATGTTATTAATTTAATAATTCATTAATTCATTTGTCATTTTTTCAAGCATGTATATTTTGCAAGGGAATACATTCAACACAACGGGAAATATTTTTGATCTATTGATTTAGACGGACAGTTGGAATCTTTATAGTTTTCTGTATAATGCTTTGTTTGTGTTTTCTTCTTTTTCTTTCGATCATAGTGTTGTCTGTTTTTTTCGACTTATGATTTGTTATTATCCCCTTCGTTTGTAAAGTTAAAGTCTGCCCTCCAAATTCGAAAGTTTTACGGACGGCAATTGGAACATTCATGTATATGAGGGTATTTTTGACACAGATACTCGATAACGATCGACTATATTCAAATCACGATGCCGTGAAACGTTCGAAGGGATGTCTACTCGGTATCGGAAGTCGCCATTTTTCTCAATCTTTAGTTTTCTGTATAATGTTTTTATGGAACATTGTTTATCATTTCGTCTTTTTTTTTCGATCATATAAATGTTGTTTGTCTCTCTTTTACTTATGATTTGTTATTATCTCCTCCTTTCATATTTGTAAAGTTTAAGTCATCCTTTCGGAAGGTTTAACAGGTATCGAATAAAACACCTCCTTGCTTTGACCATCCGTAGTCTTCATTTTCTTCGACTTTTGATTTTTCATTGTCCGCTGGGTTCCTTTTGCCTCTTTTTGTATATCTTCTTACATGGACAACATCTGAAGTCTACGATAATCCAAACACGACTGAGCAAGGAGATGTCAGTGTGATTTATCGTTAGTTTTGGCAAAACTTTGATTTAGATATGAAGAAGAGGAAATTGCGCCTTTGCAATTTATATAAGACACAAATCTGTGTCCACACATTTTTCTCTTTATAGATCAGCACCCGATGACATTCGTCGAATATAGATGGAAAATTCTCAGTTTTACTACTCAGGAGAGGATTATGGCTACAAAATATTTTGTTTAGTACATCTTCTGATTTTTAACTGTTGTGTCATCGTCAATCACCGTTGAAGTATTACAAACTTTGTAACTGGTGAATTTCCTTTGTCTACGGAACCGCCAAATCACTGTTAGAAGTTAAAATATGAAAAGTCGATAAAGACCTTTTCTTCAAAGTCAGATTACTTGATATAAAATGTAACTTTCTTTAGTGTACATTTATTATATTGTTCAATTTAGATCAAAGATAATGATAATGTTAAATAAATCATATATTCCTTAAGAAAACATTCTTGTCAGTATTACAGTGCATTTTATTTGATGGAAATTTAATTTTGAAAGAATTAATTTTCATAACAACAAAAATATGATAAGTCAAAAAACAACATAGTTTGGCATTAAAAGACTGTTGATTATGTGCAACATTGTATTAAATTAATAACCTTATGGATATTGATCTTGAAATATTAAATTCCTCGTAAAATCAGTTTCAATGCTTTATTGTTATAAAAATTGTAATTTTGTTATAGAATTTCATTGAACGACCTCATCAATAGGGTTTAATTACTGAATGTTGCCAAATGTTTTGTTTATGGTTAGCAGTATTTATATATACATAAAGGAAACAATATTTCGATGGTTACACAATTCAGCGTTCGAAGTCATTCATCATTCAAGACATCCAGAGGTAGGTCATATTGATTAAAACTATTATATTTATTTTGTTACTACTATGTCTTATTTTTACATTTTACATCTTTCGTTTTTGGGACACATGCTATTGAAACCTAATAAGTAAGTCATACGACTTTTTTTTAGGTTTTTTCAATTAAAATAGCGAATATTTATATTTGTCCATGCAAATGGGGTGCTGACCTATTAAGAATTATATACGAATTTTTTTCTTATTGAAAAAATGATACTTTACTTCAACTTATTAGTTGTATTCAAATGTAAAGTAACTTCAACTTATTAGTTGTATTCAAATGTCAAGTAACTTCAACTTATTAGTTGTATTCAAATGTCAAGTAACTTCAACTTATTAGTTGTATTCAAATGTCAAGTAACTTCAACTTATTAGTTGTATTCAAATGTAATGTAAAGTAACTTCAACTTATTAGTTGTATTCAAATGAAAAATAACTTCAACTTATTAGTTGTATTCAAATGTAAAGTAACTTCAACTTATTAGTTGTATTCAAATGTAAAGTAACTTCAACTTATTAGTTGTATTCAAATGAAAAGTAACTTCAACTAATTAGTTGTATTCATTTGTAAAGTAACTTCAACTTATTAGTTGTATTCATTTGTAAAGTAACTTCAACTTATTAGTTGTATTCAAATGTAAAGTAACTTCAACTTATTAGTTGTATTCATTTGTAAAGTAACTTCAACATATTAGTTGTATTCAAATGAAAAATAACTTCAACTTATTAGTTGTATTCAAATGTAAAGTAACTTCAACTTATTAGTTGTATTCAAATGAAAAGTAACTTCAACTAATTAGTTGTATTCATTTGTAAAGTAACTTCAACTTATTAGTTGTATTCATTTGTAAAGTAACTTCAACTTATTAGTTGTATTCAAATGTAAAGTAACTTCAACTTATTAGTTGTATTCATTTGTAAAGTAACTTCAACATATTAGTTGTATTCAAATGAAAAATAACTTCAACTTATTAGTTGTATTCAAATGTAAAGTAACTTCAACTTATTAGTTGTATTCATTTGTAAAGTAACTTCAACATATTAGTTGTATTCAAATGAAAA